ACTTACCTGTGTCAGCTTCCACAGGGACTTTCTCTTTGCCCAGAGCCTCTTCCTTCTGGTCCATCTCTTCTGGAGTCTGCGGAGCCTCCTGACCGTCTTGGACACGTGTCTGCAGGGGCTCCTGACTGTCTCGGACACAGAGCTCTTCATCCCTCTCGATCCGGGAGAGGATGTCAGGCTTGGACACAGCATAGTCTGCTCACGGGGCAGAGGACAGTGTGTTTTATGAGGAACTGGCTGCACCTTCATTCTGTCGACCTCTCAAAGTGACCCTTCTCTGCCTAACCCCAGCGCTAGCAGGCAGTGCAGACAGACACAAACATGTTATCCATGCTCTAACCAGAGCGGTGGTGCTGCCTTCCCGGCCCTGCGGCGGGATCCACCCATAAGCACAGCTGTAGCTCACATACAGAGGGAATCTTAAGTAGCAGAACATGAACTGAAATCTTAGAGAGAAAGGCTGTGCCTTGAACATTTTCCTCCCATTTCAACTTCAGCAGTGACTTGAAAAGGAATTCTTCTGAGCTATCATTCTGGAGTGGGGACAGAAAACTTCCCGCTCTATAGAGGCGTCTGCATCAGATGGACCATGAGAGGAACAGAATATTGTTGAGAAAAGTGAAGTGGCAACTTCAGTAGCTGCACAGAGCAACACGTTACTAGTCGTGCCCAAGAAACAGCTTTTGCTGGGGAATATCTTACAGCCCAAATCATCCAAGAACATGTCTGGTGTCCTTAGGAAGACTGAGCACAATTAGGTTAGTTCTTTACCGAGGCAGATGGAAATGTCCCTGCCACTTTACACAGGGGCTAAGTAGACAGAAAACAAGAAAAACTAGTTCAAGGTGCAATTATCAGACTTCACCCATTTCTGAACTGTGCTAGAAGATCACGATGGTTCCCTGAACCTGGAATCCACTTCCATAGTCATTAGGACCAGCATCTTACATGGATTTTTTTTGCATAATTTATATTGTTCGCATTACTATCGCTACTGTTATTTACTATAGGTATCTCTCGTGTTGTGTATTGCTTTACAAGCAGGAAGGATGGAAAACGTGTGGGTCTGACTGCCCAGGAGAGGTTCTGCTAGCTACAGGCACCCAGGCCCACCGAACAGCCCATCAGTCGGGCTGTGGTGGGCAGCAGTCCAGCCTACCCGCAAGAGAAGCTCATCTGGGGGCACAAGCCCTGTGCCTTACCCAGGGAGATCAGCGTCTCGTAGTTCCCCCTCATCACAGCCCTGTACAGATCCTTCTGCCAGCGGTCCAGTCGCTCCCACTCCTGCTCGTTGAAGTACACTGAAATGTCATCGAACGTGACCGGTACCTGGAATCACAAGTATTACGTGCTCGGTGACGTCTGATGCGGTTGGATAACTGGAAACCACGCGCGTGTGGTCACTGCTCGGCTTTGGTTGCCAGAGCTCAGGGTAGGCACAAAGCAAAGCGTGTTTTGGCCAGATGAGGCCTTGTGAGCGGCGAGCCCAGGACTTGTGGGTGCTCAGCCACCCGAGCCCACCATTAAGATCGCTCCAGTATTTCCTAAACTGCCTTACACAGCCACGGCGGTGGCACTGGTGCTTCCCGAGGCCAGGCCAGATGCCGTTACCTTGGGGACCTCGCCCCGGGAACCACCGCAGGATCCAGAAATTTCTGTTCTTCAGGAGATTCTCCACGTTGTCCAGGCGCTGCTGGAGGTGCCCGTAGTCCTGCAGGAGGCTGCCCAGAGCGGCCAGGTTGCTGCCCAGCTCCCCGACCAAGTTCTCGCAGGCCAGGAGCCTCCGCTCGGCCTTCTCCGTCCGGCTCCGC